ACTAGACTGGCATGTAAGGAGACAGTTAACAAACTGACAGGATGTAAGACTAGGAGATTGCTGGTGCATTATACAGAGCATAAATAGGTACATAAATCCAGAACAAAAATTATCATGCAGAACAAGTATTATAGGGAACTGAATCAACTCTTTACAAACTGCTTTAATTTTGTCATGAGATTTCAATGCTAAATTATGGTTTAAGGATATTTCCAACACAAAATAAATAATCAAAAATCAAAACTCACTGCCAAGAGCATATTTGCACATTGTGACAGATGTAGATACAATTGGACTCTTCCCGGGATCCCATACAACCACATTATAATGCATGAGTAATTGACATCAGATATTTCAAAGATGATTTTGGTACTTCTTTGTAGTCTGACTAAGTACTGATCTAGCAGACAGCAATAACAGCAGTGGATTAACATAAAGGAAGACTAGGGTATAGCCAACTCCGGATTTATATTTAAGCTAAATAAACTGCATCAGAAGGGTCCTAAAAATATAATAGGAACCAATTAGCAGTACAAACCCTGCTTCCAAATTTTAGAAAGTACTGACTATGAATTCAGAAGCTGTTACAATTGGTTACCATATTATAAAATAGTTCCCAAGGTGTACACAAAGTAACAGCTGATCATCAGTACCTGATCCTAGTTCCTGTGTAAAAAAAAACTCAGTTGTTTTGGTCTGCAAGTGAACTATACCGACTGAGCGACCGCCGCTTGTCAGCGAAGTTAGTGCCAACTTTAGCAAATAGAGGGTGCCATGTGGTCAGCACAAAGAATCCCCACTGCCGTTAATATCGGTTTTCTCGACCAGAGCCACTATTTCTTTGAAATAGCTCCTCAGTTATCCTCACGAGGCTGAGTGGACCCTGTTTCAGACCCACTACTTCTCAGAAAAAACTCTAGTAGCGCCGGGAATCGAACCTGGACCTCTGGATCTGTAGCCAGGAACTCTGACCACTAGACCACAGAGGCGGTATTATAAGTTGAAATTACATTTTAGTAACTGGTGAAACAAAGGTAAAGATGTCTCTCTACTTTATTAAATAATATGCCATGAAGATGTACAGGGGAGAAAGCATAGCCTACACTTTCTTATCAGAAGTCTTCTTCCATAAAGATGCAGGCAGCACACTCCTCCAAGGCACTGGTAAACATTTACTAGACTGCAAGTTGTCACATCTTCACAAATACAGCCTAAAAATCTCAAATCTTAATGTTATCTGCAGTAACAAGTCTACCAGGTTTTCTCTACTTCTTTGGCAGTAAATGCAATGTACAATACCTTTTTTGGGAAAACCATCCCGGTTCTATTTTCATTCCACCTCAAGCATTGTTTATATATAAATAAACATTACAAGATTCCTCTATCCTATTTGTATGCACTGACAACATAGAAGGCTCAATCACAGTTTTTACACATAATACCCTGGCTTCATTCAGATGTGAGGTTCTATAAAAACACAAATCAGTAATGTGCTGAGAAACAAAACAGAAAAAAACTTTGTCAGTGAAAAAATGGTAGGATTTTTAACTTTTTACACTAGTTTGCATGATAATTCAGTATAAAAAAGGAATAAATATTTCTTATTTTCATATTTCAGGATATACAGAGTGTCCCAGGAGGAATGGACCAAACTTTGGGAGGGTGTTCCTTATGTTAAAGTATGCCGATATAACCCAAAACACCTATGTCCAAAGTTGAACGGTTACGGAGNCGTACATTATTAACATTACAGAATCCACATATTCCTGCCAGTTTTAATATGTATTTTGTAACCAACAAGTGTGCAACGCCGGTGAAAGTTTCACACTTCTCTGGCCATTATCTCCGTAACCGTTCAACTTTGGACATAGGTGTTTTGGGTTATATCAGCATACTTTAACATAAGGAACACCCTCCCGAAGTTTTGTCCATTCCTCCTGGGACATCCTGTATAAAAGAATTGCAAACTTAAAAATCAGTTAATCAAATGATGACCAAAGCAGAAGTACTGGTGTACTCAGCAGGCCAGGCAACGAATGATACAAGGGCCTCACATACTGAGTTATCAGATGACAATGAGGGGTTAATTCATGTACATGTATTTTGGAGTTATGCACATTGAACTTGTGTGATTTAAACATAAAGCTGATGCTAGAAATAGTTCTCTTTGTCACAGTATTACAGTATGAGTGGTGTGGGAAGGTATCTGAAATGCACTGTGCATGGTGTTACAATCTGACTTCTCAGAGAAGTGTTACTATAGTGTATGAAAAAGCATAAGACTTTTTTAAAAAAATTAGGAATATGAATGAAGCAGAATAACATTTAACTTATTAACATAAGCTACTTTTAATAACAATTACATATACTGTAAATCATTAAACATCAATGGTGCAACATTTTTACTGTTTTTTAAGAAAGAAATGAAAGCAAATCATTTTTGAGTTCATGTTATCGAACACTGACGATATGGAGTGAATATTGAACATGCTCTCTCAGTTTGTAACTCCACTAAGTAGAGACCCTTTTGAGAAGCTAGTGGTTACTGATCCATTCTGAAATTCCGTTTTACAGACCATGAAGGTTTGCTGTAGTGCTCAGAATAGCTCTCCACTAAACCCTAATCTGGACCAGATGAACCCATGCCATGTTCTCATATGCTACTTCTTTTAAGATCCATTCTAATATTATCCTCCCATCTCTACCTAGGTCCCTTTTTGTAGCATTTATCTACCCAGTGTTTAGTTACAATACGAATGTTACATAAAGGTAAAGTTGTCCCTGTGCTTAAGCAATTAAACACTATGCCATGAACGTATATAGGGGAGTGGATGTATAGACCCTGGCATTAGTTGGAAGTGAGTGGTCAGCTTCACTCCCAGGGAAAGAGCTCCAGTGCCCATTGGATAAGAGGCTTGGTGGGCCCCAGAAGTAATCTGGACAATGTGGAGTAGAGAAAAATCTTAACCCTACCACAACTCACACTCCAACCGACCCCTTGGTCGTCCAGCCCATAGCCAGTCACTATACAAATTGTGCTATCCTGGCTCCTAATCTCTTATATATTGTACTTGCATTTATAATTTGTATCTGTTACTGCACTGAACTTCCACAGTAATAGACAAGGGTAAACCTAAAAGTATCTATAATGGGCAGTTTATTAAAATCAACACAATGGCAATACATAACTCAGAAGTGCATCATTTTTCAACTTAGTCTCCTTGCTTTTCAGTAAACTGGCCCAGTATTGCATAAGCTTATGTAAATCATTAGAAAAAATGTTTTTGACCTGGCAGCAAGCCATGCACACACTGCTTCAACTCACAGTTGCTAGCAAAACAACCACTACCTAAGACATCTCTGAGGGGTAAAAACAGATGAAAATCTCAGGTCTGCATTGTGGATGTTGTATGATTATCAGCACCTGGGCTTGTTCAATGTACCCTTCAGCAGTTAGTGTGAATGAGGTCCCTGACTATTCTCCATCAGTGACACTTGTCTGCCATTTCTGAACACATAAATACTTTCATTTACGCTTTGCTGAAGCAAAACACTGGCATCAAACTGCACTGATAATCTCTGCACCTCTTGTATCTTCAATCCAGAAAAACTGAATCACTGTATGCTGGCCCTTGTAGTAGGTGAAACAGCCATGTTGATGCCACTAGTGGTGAAATATAACTGAATGGTGAAGGTCACATAAATCACATCAGTAGTGAACTCTGTGCCTATGACTGTATGCACATCTAGTATGGGGGCCCACTGCAAACAAGATAACCCTGTGTATAATTTATGACTTACGCTCATAAGTTTTTCACTTATTTACATGGTCCAGTCCACATGTTATTGTTAAATTTAGTCCTCACTTACTGTTCAAAGTCCACTGTTCCCCATATGATATCTAAATTGGGACTTCATTCTATATCATAAGGCAAACTACAAACAAAGAGCTGCTGATGTTATAGAGATTTGATGAACAAAGCTGAAGAGTTAAAGGATGAAAATATAAGATAAATGTGGCTTGAATTAACATCACATTTTAATACTGTTTGAATCACATACTGACTGCAACTGATACAGGCCTGACATACTGTAAGAAGAAAAACAGATACAAAAATAACGTTTCAGAAGGATGTGAAGATCTTGTTTCATTTCATACAATGGCAAAGTTCATGCCTGTAGTGCCATTACAATTTGTAATACACATATACTTATATGTGAATATAGGAATATATATAGGAATGAATATATGATAATGGTGGGAAAGCCGGAATGAAAGAGACCACTAGGATGACGAAGACGTAAGTGGGTGAACAATATTAAAACGGATCTTAGAGACAGGATGGATGGTATGGATTGGATCGATCTGGCTCAGACTAGAAACCAGTGGAGGGTTCTTGTGAACACAGTAATGAACCTTTCGGTTCCATAAAATGCTGGGGAATTCATGAGTAGCTGCAAAACTGGCAGCTTCTAAAAAGGGCTCATCTCATTGGAGATAGTTGGTTAGTTGCTTTAACTTATGGTATTGACATTTATCTACATTATATTATTTATTTTGTAATGGCGGATAGAAGTGACAAGAAGACGAGGAAGAAGACGTAAGAAGATGCTGGATGACCTTGGGGACAGAAGAGGATACTGTCATTTGAAGGAGAAAGCTCTAGATCGCATTAAGTGGAGGAATTGTTTTGAAAGAGACTGTGGACCTGTTGTCTTGATAGATTACTGATGATGATGATGATATTGATTCAAACCCGTTGATTTGTGTAATAAACGTCTTTCAAAGTATAAACTGATTACTTGATTCTCTCTGAGCTAATAATCAAACCTGTTGTTGTTACTGATCAAATTATTTATAAGTAAGTCTTACTAAATAATAATAATACTAATAATAACTATAACTGAGTTATCACACCATCTCAGATCAAGATTTATTTGAATACCATTTGCACACATCTGGTTTTGATCTCACCCCAGGTGCTCAGTTAGAAGCAAAATCATATTTCAGACTTTAGAATTTTATTGAGGTACAAATCTAAGAATTATCAAACACATCATCTAACAGCCACTTTTAGAATTAGCTCCCCAACTCATGCACATGTGCACACACTATAGTACACTGAACAGTTATTCTGTGACATTTAAAATGATCCATTAAAAATACGGCAAGCCCATACTTATTACTACATAAATAACCCTTGCCTTGGAGTCATATTAAACATCATATGCACTGCACAATCAACAAATTGTTATTATAAATCCTGAATCAATATCAAACGTCTGGGCATCATGTTCGAAACATAACATACAATTCAGTAGCTTCTTTTGGCCATAGAATTCTGCTTATCAGTTCTTACTTTCTTATAGATCAGATTTAATATTATGTAGTGGAATATATTCAGTCTCATTTACATTCTTACACCAATGGATTCTAACACTTGTTTTTCTTGTTTATTTAGATGCTGAAGAAACATATGGAAATATGGCTGCTGACTGAAAGACTGAAGGAATTCAGTCAAATATTGCTGGATATTGAGGTGATATACTGGGTCCTGCATTGCATCTGGGTCTTCATCATCTGCTGTTTCCTCCACTCCTGCCAACAAATGTTTCCACAGTGTCAAAAGAAACTTGCTAGGCATGTTATGTAAAGCTCTATGTGTCATTTCAAATTAACTGTTGCAAGCTAATAAAACAGAGCTTTCTGGAATGGGAAGATGACTACTAAACAAATATTAACCTTTAACGTCCGAATGTCAAGTATACAGGTCACAAGCAGTAACCCGAGTTGGCCGAATGACCTGTTTACACGTCGCAGGACACATGCTCTCTTTGGGAGTGCTGGCAGTTTGACCTTGGGTTGGAAACCAAAGCAAACCTACGTGAGGTCATGTCAGTGGTTCATTCCTTAGCTCTGAAGAAAGAAACTGTTTATCATGGTACTGGTTTCGATACTATTTACCTTTAGATATGACTGTTTATGACCTGCTCAGCCAAATATAGCCCAGCTTTGTTTCGAGAACTTATGAGGAAATATTTATCGGTGCTTGCATGTGAGTGCTTCCAGAGCCTTCAAGGAAGTCTGACGCATTCAAGGATTTGTTTTCAGTGGCGAATTATCAGTCAGGAAGTCAGTGTCGAATTGTCTAATATTTATCAGTTAGAAAGTCAGCGTCAGACTGTCATATATTTCTTATATATCATTTTTATTTTGCGTCTTGGAAGAGGTATAAACCCACTGAGCCAGTATTACTTTAGGAGTAAAGGCATTATCGCCACTGCAACTTTCAGTATGTGTCTGACTGGTACTCTTTTTTGACTAGTATTTGAATTACTTTGCATCAATATTTTGCGAATATTACCAACAGGTGAGAGTGTCGCTTTGTCAATCAACATAATTTATTCAATTTTGCTAGAAACCGCCCTCCCCCAAGATGATTATTCAATCGCGCAAGCCGAATATCACGGTCAGTGGCGTTTCTCGGGGGAAGGCCAAATTTATCAGGAGGCCCAACTAATTTGACTGGAGTTGAAAAAGTCACAACACTGGCCAACCAAAGGGAAACAAAGACGTCATGTGTTTCACTAAATAAGAAAAGCAGGAGCACCCTCTTCTATTATAAAAAGTGTGATTTTGCTGTGTGAAGTGACTGTGAACTGAAAGTGTGAAGTGACGCAGTTCAAACTCGCCTACAGTAATATTATTGTATATAGAGTGATTATATTTACAATATCACCAAGTCTCAAAGCTGAATATCACAGTCAGTGGCGTTTCTCGGGGGAGGCCAAGGTCACCTGGGGCCCAACTCAGTCGAATGGAGGTGAAACATTCACAACACTTGCAAACCAAAGGGAAACTAAGACATATTTGTTCTCAAAATAAGAAGCGCAGAAGCACTCTCTACTACGGTAAAAAGTGTGACGTTGCGCTATGTTTGTTTGGATGCTTCGAGACGTGAGTTGCTCTATGCGCATTGGGCTGCTTCGAGACGTTGCACACGCGCGTCAGGGTGTGAGTTATCGTAAACTGTGAAGTGACGCAGTTCAAACCCACATACAGTCTGAACAAAATATTATTGTATATAGTGTGATTATATTTAAAGTATCACCATGATTCAAGGCTGAAGAAAAAACAACGGGTAAGTCCTTTGGAATTTCATGACATATATAATAAAGATTATATTTTGCAATTCATGACAAAATAATCACAGTTAATTTTCATTTGTAAAAATTGCTCTTCTGTGTACATGTAGAAAAATTCATTGTCTTTCATGTTGTTTTTAGTTTTTATTTCTATGCTGCATAGAACGGAAAATATGGATTTTTTTTCTGACGGTTTGCAAATTTAATTAATCAGGGTGATTTAAATACCGGCTGCAGGGGGCTCCCGGCAATTTAAAAGTCCGTACGTTAAAGGTTAAAACATACCTAATGAGGCGTTTGAAGTGTCACAGCACTGAGAAGTTATATGGATAGGTTTCTAAAGGTCAAACTTTACTCAAAAAATTTAAAGTACTGACATAAAGAGAAGCCAACTGACAGATTGAAGGTTATTTATGTACTTCAAGAGCAGCCAGTAATTTTGCTGCAGAGACTGAACTGTATCTTGAAAACATGAACACAAAGAAATATATTGCCAGTGCTTCAAGCAGGTAAGGATAAGACTGGATACAGAAGTGTCTGAACCTTCCTGATATATTTCAATAGTCTGAACCAGCATTAGTTGTTCTACAGGTGCGCTGACTACTACACACAAATCTTTCTTCCTTGTACACAATTATAAAGAGCAAAGTTGCTTCATAATGAGGAAATAAAACATAAGTAGTTCATTATTCTACTTCATATGACTTTCAGAAATGTAATAAAAGGCAGACAGTGAAATGCTACAGTTCCTGACATCATATTTCTTGATCCCTTTAGTCATACTCACTCAATCATGAAGCTCAGCCCTCCTTGAGAAGCCGCCAAATGTCCAGCTACTCAAGATCTCCCAGCATTTTATGGAACACAAAGGTTCATTACAATGTTCACAAGAGTCCTCCACTGGTCCCTATCCTCAGCCAGATCAATCCAATCCATACCATTCCATCCCATCTCTCTAAGATCCATTTTAATATTGTTCACACACCGACATCTTAGTTTTCCCAGTGGTTTCTGTCCTCCTGGTTTTCTCACCAATACTCTACATATTCTTCTTCTCCATTCATGCTACATGCCCTGCCCATCTCATCCTCCTTGAGTTGATCATTCTAATTATACTTGGAGAAGAGCACAAGTTATGAAGCTCCTCATTATGCAGTTTTCTCCAACCTCCTGTCACTTCATCTCTCTTCGGTCCAAATATTCTCCTCAACACCCTGTTCTCAAACACCCTCAGTCTATGTTCCTCCCTTAATGTCAGAGACTAAGTCTCACACCCATACAGAACCACAGGCAAAATTATAGTTTTGTATATTCTAATTTTTATGTTTTTAGACAGCAGACAAAAGTTTCTGGATTGAATGGTAGCAAGCATTACCTGAATTCAATCTCCACTTAATTTCCTCCTGAATCAGATTTTGATTTTGGTATAGTCTCTCCCAAATATGTGAACTGTGCCACATTTTCAAAACATCTGTTACCCTTTAGTCACATGTCACACAATTTCTGAACGGATTATATTTTTCTTTGAAAAACATCTACTTTTCAGCCCTCTCTTCACTGTAACTAATCAAGCAACTTTCTGAAGACACTGCTGCAGTGGTCTATCATACCAACATAAGCCATGAACTGTCAATAATAAAACAAAGTAAAATTGAGGTGTCACTGTGTTCAAACAAGCACCACACAGAAGAAGATGGGGGGGGGGATGGATATATAGCTCTATACATTAACCTCAGCACTAGATGCTTTAGCCCCAGTACCCATTGGAGATGTGGATGGTTGTGGCCCACAGATAGTCTAGATGTGGTAAAGAGGAAAACCTCTGCCCCAACAGAAATGAAAAATCAATCCTTGGTTGCCCAATCTGTAGCCCAGTCACTACACTGACTGAGCTATGCTGGCTCTATATTAGGTGAAAACTCTGTGTATGGAAATGACACTCCTCCAGCCTTCATTCAAAAGGAAGTGCCAGTTTTATTTGAAACAACAGCTTTGATTTGAATGCATTAACTTCAAACATCTCTTGGCATATTATTTACAATGCTATGAGTTTATACCCTCATTCTGTATCACAATGACACAAATTGAATATATATATATCTTAATGCAAATATAATTTTTTCTGCCAAGTACTGGGTATGTGAACTTAACAATATTATTGCTCTTCTCTCATGTTTCTTTATGACATGCTCCATTTCATTATTTTTCAAATGGCAAGACACTCTGCTTGACATGAAATGGATTAGAGTTCACAATGCTAACAATTTTGATTCTGTTACACAATATAAAATACTTTCCATTAAAATCACTATAAATATAAACCATGTGGGTTTCACTTGAACTTCGTAATTCATAAAATTCTAAAGTCATAAAAATAAATATCATATGTGTGTGTATGCAGTTAGACACAAGAAAGAAATATTTGCAAAAATGAAAACTGTGTTAATTCGAAGCGCACATTATTTGCATTTCATCCAATGTCAGCAAAAGTTTACATTTCTTTCTTGTTAGGACATTCTGAAGAATGGGGCAAGAAAGAATTTATTATCCAGCTCCTTCCATTCTTCGCAAATATTTTATGTTTTGTCTTTTTTGTGCATTGTTTTGGAGACCAAATTCAGGTAATGCTTGCTGCCATTCAGGTGAGAAACTTCTGTCTCCTTGTCATCTGTCTAAAAACATAAAACTCAGAATATACAAAACTACAATTTTGCCTGTGGCTTTGTATGGGTGTGAAACATGGGCTCTGTCATTAAGGGAGGAAGAGACTGAGGGTGTTGAGGAGAATATTTGAACCAGAGAGAGATGACGTGACGGGAGGCTGGATAAATCTGCATAATGAGGAGCTACATAACTTGTACTCTTCACCAAGTATAAATACTCGTAGAATGATTAAGTCAAGGAGGATGAGATTGGCAGGGCATGTAGCATAAATAAGGGAGAAGAGGAATGAATATATAGGATAGTGTTGGGAAAGCCAGAAGGAAAGAGAGCTCTAGAAGACCAAGATGTAGGTGGGTGAACAATATTAAAATGGTTCTTAGAGAGATGGGATGGTATGCATTGGATTGATCTGGCCCAGGATAGGGGACAATGGAGGATTTTGTGAGCACAGTAATGAAACTGTGGGTTCCATAAAATTCTGGGAGGTTCTCGAGTAGTTGCACAATTGGCGGCTTCTTAAGAAGGGCTCAGCTCCATGAGTGAGTGAGTTCTGTTTTATACCTAGGCCACATAAATAATGTGTAAGTAAGGTTATGACAAAAATTCACAAATTTTCAATAAAAGATAAGTTCAGTATTTTGTCACAGCAAACCACTAACCTTTGTAACGTTTCTCTGAAAGTAGCTGTGAAATAGGAATCCCCTGTTCTCCTCTACCAAGCTCATCTTCCTCCCACTCATCATCAGTCTGCAAAACAGAGAGAGGGGAGCAAAACTTTGAAGACCGTGCCCATTTCATGACACAATGCAATAATCATCCCATAAAAGAACACATAAATGCAAGTATATAAGGCAGCCACCCAGCTATTACGTAGTTTGTTGAAAGTAAAAACTGAAAATGTTGCAGTGCAATGTTTAGAATAGGCTAACATTGTAACCAGAGTGATTAAAAAAACTCCATGGCCTGTAGGCCAAAAGTGAACTATACCGACTGAGCAACTGCCGCTTGTCGGCAAGGTTAGTGCCAACTTTTAGTGGATAGAGGATGTCGTGTGGTCAGAGCAACGGATCCCCATGGTAATTAATCTCAGTTTTCTAGATCGGAGCCACTATTTCCTTGAAACAGCTCCTCAATTATCCTCACGAAGCTGAGTGGAACCCCTTCCAGACCCACGACTTCTCAGAAAATCTGGTAGTGACGGGAATCGAACCCAGGACCTCTGGGTCTGTGGCCAGGAACTCTGATGACTATACCACTGAGGCGGTCCAACCAGAGTGTCCGAGAATAAAATTTTGATATTTTATCTCATAATAAGTATTTAGTCTTTTTATGAGTACACTCGCACCTCTTTACAGGCAAAATAAAAACCCCTTTTCACACATTTTCAATCTTAAGATAAGCACACACTTTACATTACTGTACACTTATGAGTCTTAGTGCATGAATGTAATGAAAGGCAAATAACAATGCCAAGAAATTTGTTCCCTTAAAACTAATTTCAAAACTGAGAATTACAATTTACTTCCTAAATCCACATAACATCATATGCCAAAACATTTGGCCTACCTCTAAAATACTGCAGCCAACACTGATATATGCAACTGTAACTTCTCTCACAAACCTCTTCCTCCTCTTCCTCCTCAAGTGCCATGTTTGCTTCTATCTGATTGCTCAGTTCATTCACCAGTAATTTGTAGATTTTCACCAAAAGAGGGATATTTGTCCACTGTGGTGATTGATTCTGAGTCTGAGAACGCGTTCGAATGCCATCAGTTACAAACACTTCATCTCCTTTCACAGTGATGTCATTCAGTCGATTGTCATTAGATGCAATTCCATGTTCCAACAACTTGCACAGAGCTACAGTACTGTGAATTTAGACAGAGGATGCTTGGATTATGAAGACACAGAGGAAACATTAATGGAAACAAATTAATTATAATTACGAAAATTTAAATAACTACCATAACAAAAGGCCAAACTTAAATTTTTTTTTCCCATGTATCCTGTTGTGTTATTATATACAACTCTTTATTAAGTCCATCACAACACAATACAGTGTTCAAGGCTAAATTAGCTTTGTAGCAACAAAAGTATTTTAATACAACTCTTTATTAAGTCGGCCGCAACACAACAATACAATGTTCAAGGCTAAATTAGATTCGTTCCCTTCATAAATAATGACATCCAATATTACTGAACACATTATTTAACATGTTACAAAGAAAAGATTTTAATTGCCATATACTATATCTCAAGGAAAAAGTAAACATCTACAATATCAACAACAAACTTATAAATATGTGGTGTGTTCAAAAAGTATCGAACCTTTGGTCAGCAGAAATACATTTATTGATTTGGAGGTACAAAACCTAATCCCCTTCAAAGTACTCTCCTTGGTAATGCACACACTTCTCCCAGCGCTTCCGCCATTGTTGGAAACACTTCTGGAATGCGTCTTTTGGAATGGTCATCAGCCGGGCCGTCGCATTCCGCATGATGTCTTCTCTTGACTCAACTCGGGTTCCTTTCAGCGGCATTTTCAGCTTGGGAAAAAGCCAAAAGTCACATGGAGCCATGTCGGGGGGAGTAGGGAGCCTGACGAACCACAGGGATGTTGTGTTTGGTGACAAAAGTCTGAATCAGATGCACAGAATGGGCAGGTGCGTTATCATGATGGAGCCGCCAAGTTTTTGCTGCCCACAGATCCGGTTGTTTGTGCCGCACAGCATCATGAAGACGACAAAGGACCTCCTGGTAGTATTCCTTTGTCATGGTTTGGCCTTGTGGTGCGTACTCATGATGCACAACCCCACGGGAGTCGAAGAAAACGGCCAACATGACCATGACATTGCTGCGGACCTGAAGTGCTTTTTTTGTCCTCGGCGATGTCGGATGTTTCCACTGTGACGACTGCATCTTGGTTTCCAGGTCGTACCCATAAACTCATGACTCATCACCCGTGATCATGGTGTTCAGAAAGTTGGGGTTACTGTTTGCATTGTCCAGCATGTCCTGTGCGATTTCCAGACGACGCTGCTTCTGCTCCATTGTTAGCAGTTTCGGTACGAATTTCGCAGACACTCTCCTCATGCCCAAATCCTCAGTCAAAATTGAAAGTACCGATCCAGTGCTTACCCCTATCTCGTTTGCAAGTTCTCGGACTGTCATATGACAGTCCTCCATGACCAAAGTTCGCACTTGCTCAATGACATTTTCATTTTGGCTTGTTGAGGGTCTGCCTGAACGTGGTTCGCTGTCTACTGATGTGCGGCCATCTTTGAAGCGGTTGTACCACTCCTTTATCCATGAGTTGCTCATGGCATCATCCCCGAAAGCCTGTTGAATCTTGCGAATGGTTTCCACTTGGGTATCGCCAAACTTTTGGCAAAATTTGATGCGATATCGCTGCTCATGTTGTTCCGTCATTTTACACCTTACTGGAATCCGACGAGCGCTCACTACATGTCCTCACTCATAGGCCGACTGCCCGCGAG